GAAAAACAACAATCAAGTGTCACCTGTAATTTCAGTGACAGGTGACGTATGTGTGACATTATTTCCTCTCCTCTCTTACACCTGAAATGCTTCGTTAACTCTTTCTCTTTAAAGAAAGCACTCCTTGTAACTCTGAAATGGAGATAAGCTGACCAAAATACTTTCCGGTCTCAGTATAACATGGCCCTGCTGTTCCCATGGATCCAATTACGATGAATTTATTCATCACAGGTTCGAATGCCTCCTGGGGCCTGGCACTAGAGAGGGCAGAGCAGGAGCAGCTGGGACGTCAGGCAGGCCTGGTTTTAATCTCAGCTGCTGCTAACTTGCTGTGCAGTGCCACACAAGGTACTTCACGTCTCTGAGCTCTGGCTTTCTTACGTGATGGGAGCGCCTGCTTCTCCCAGGGGTGTCCAGGGGATGACCCAGGGCAAATGTTAATAAGTAACGCTCTGGTTACAGCTGCAGGTACCGAAGACAGTGTGACAACACTGGGCATTGCAAAGGAGGTGACAAGAATGAGCACGACCCATGGGGCAAAATGGGGTGTGAGAGATGACATCAGTCCTCCTTTACAGGGAGAACCACGGGCATGGGCCCTGCAGGACAGCCTGCCATCCTGAGTGCACCACCCCCCGCGATTCTGGGGGGGTGCAATTCGCCAGACTGTAAGTGGCAGTAAAGCCGACTGCAGCCACTGAAGACACGAATACTTTCAACCGACCAGGTATCCACGAATTTCAGTAAGAGTTTAAGAAAACTGATGATTCCAGAAAGACTCTAGCCAATCCCAGGGCCACAAAACTAAACTTCTTTAATAGATCGGGCCTCCAAGAAAGCCCTGTGTGAAGAAAGCCGATTAGAAAACGCACAGAAGAGTTCCGAAAGTTTGACTCTAATAAGGAAGCTTCAGAATTATGCGAATCTTCTAAATGGCAACGTCTTCAATACTCTTATAATTTTAAACGAATTCTTTCCAATCGTGTCTTCAGCAGAGACCACTCAACTTGAGCCAGTTAAGTATCGTCTGACCACAACAGCAGCCACAAAACCATGAAGCCCTCAGTTCCTTCCCACACCCTCACCATCCTGAACCGGAAGCTTACCTGAAGCAATTCTCAAAACACCTTGTCATGTAATCCCAGAGAAAGTCTGTGCTCAGGGAAGTGATCAGCAAATTCACCGTTTTAACAATCTCAGAGGCGTGTCTGTTTTCTTTTATTGCACTGTAAGGGAAGAGGGATATTTATAAACGCATCTAGGAAAATCCCTGTATGACAAGAATGCCATGTCTGAAAAACTAATTCATTTTACCACTTACAACTTATTTCTAGAGAGATTGGCAAACTCAGTTACAGATTAAAATGTATCTGTTCTTACGTAGGGAAGAGTATGCACTGTGCTGTCCTAAACGGTATTTACACTGATACATTCTCTCAGAAGCAAGCTTAGGAGCTCCTGGAAAAAGGATGTGACATGGAAAACCAGTTTCGTCCAACTACAGGTAATTACGTACTCCACTTGTGAAATAATATAGTAGAGCTATTTAGGAGGGAAATTTGGCTAACATTTAAATGTGCATCATCTATGACTCAGGGAATTTATTCCAGGGATTTATCCTACAGAAATTCTTGCACAGGCACACTAAGATGTAGGCATAAGGCTATCAATGCAACATCATTTTAAAATACTGAAAGTGGAAACCACCCAAAAGTCAATCAATAAGAGACTGGTCAGTCAGGATTTCTTACAGAAGTGATAAAGCCTTACTGAGGAATCTAAAGCAACTTCATGTTCATAGGAGAAGAGAGCAGAGCCATTTACACCTTGCTTTGAAAAAAAAATCAGGCAACTAAACAGTTACTGTAATTCCATCTTAAAAATGAAAGATAAGCATCCATGTACTTATGCACTCAAAGTCTGGAAAGAAATGCAAATGTTTTACGTTGTGCTCTGAAGAGCGGTGGGATTATGGACGGTATCTATTTTTCTTGATACCTTCAAATATTGGTATATTCTACAACGAACAGGTATTCCTTTTGTGCTCAGAAAAACAATAAACTACTCTCATTCCGGGAGAAAAAGCAAATACTAAAAACTCTTGGCACACTTACAATGAACAAATGAGAAAAAACTTCTAACTGCTTAAAATTTTCAACATATCCAATGCCAATTCAGGGAGCAGGAAATTATATCAAGAGTAAAAGTAAAAGGGAAGAGGCTGTACTACCTTAAAAAGAACAAAAACAGAACAAAACACAGGGTTGATGGATAACCTGTCTGCTGTCTTCCAAACCCCACTCACCCTGCCTCCAGGGTCATAGGGCACGTGCCCTTGGGGAGCCCTCACCTGCTCCCCCCTCTTCTGACGGGTCTCCCTGAAGGCTGGTGCCCACAGGCTCCACTCCCTGCCCTGATCCCCGCCTGCCCTCCTCCCTGTAACTGGCCGCTTGGATACACTAGACGAGGCTGCCTCTGTTGAATCACTTTTCACACTTGATTAATAAACACGGTTTGTACTTCCCGGGCTGGGGCAGAGACAAGATCAAACTCCTTTTAAACTCTTCACAGTATTCAACAGGAAAAAGTCAATTCGTGCTGATCGATTTCAGAGCACAGGCCTGGCCTGCTACACCTCCACTTTCTGAGGCACTTCACGGTTTACAGTAAACAGAGGGGAAAACAACATGGCTTTAGGGAGGGAGGAAAAGAGGGAAGTTAGAAGCCAAGCCCGTACCTTGTCAGGGAATTTCCACTCTGAGTGTAGCTAAGTTTAAGATCAGAGCCGAGAGCATCTCTGCAGTAAGAATAAAAGGCCCGGATGACTTCCAGAAACAAATCCCCAACCACCTGGGGCCCTGCAATGAAGAAGAAAATAGCCAGAGAAAGATGAACAGTCCATTTTTAAACCCATGAATGACATACGTATAAAAGATACCGTGAGTAACCCTATGGACAATTTACGCAGTCTCATACAGAAACTTTAGGAGTGACAATGACACCTTCAGCTGGGGAATAACACTGGTGAAACAGTTTCCACCGACACTTTTGTAGGACTTACCACATGCTGGACACCATTCTAAGTATTTTAAAACTACTAACTTGTTTAATTCTCGGGACAGCCATTTAACCAGGTATTGTTCTGCTGTCCTGATTACAGGTAAGACGACTGGGGCTGGGAGGCTGAGCGGCTGGCCCAAGGCGGACTCTCTGGGCCGAGGCAGGGAGTGTCACATGTTTTAAGAGTGTATAAACCGCAGGGCCAGAGAGTTCACTCAATATAAACACCAAGACAGCAGGGTAACCTTCCCTATTCTGAATTCTTTAAATGATGAGTTAAAACAACCCAAAAGAAACACCACCAACCCTGAAAAGCTTAAGGTGGCTCAAAAGAACTGGACCAGCTGCCAATGAGGCGGGCAGAAGGTGGCTGGACATTTCTGCTCCACAGACCTCAACCATCAGGAAGGGAGTGACCTCCCACCCCTGTACACAGAGGAATGAACACAGGATGATTCAGAGAAAACAAAAGCTCTGTCAACACATCTGTGTAAAAAGGAATCAGCAAATAATCGAATCTCCTATGCTTCCATTTCGTTGCCTCTGGTTCACGACAAGCCCCAGCAGAAGCGTGCCGAGTGCTTTTCAGTAGTGAAGGCAAGCTCGTGGTTGAGATTCAAGGAGAAGAAATGAGGAAGTGGCTGAAGCCTGGTAGGAAAAGAACAGATGAGACTGACTGGCCGTCCTGCCCCTCTGGTCTCTGTTATCAATCCGGAGCTCAAAGGCTATTTTCCTAACAGGAACGTTCAGGTTACTGAGCAAAACTTTTAACTGGTGCCCAGACAATGACAAGTGAACCTCACAGCATGACTCCAGTACTGCACGGTTCTGAGGTTCCAAAGATTAAATCACATTCTAAACAACACGTCGATTGTATCTCATGGAGTTTTAATCCCCCAAAACAGGTGGTCCGTCTTTGGCATCTGATGGCAAAGTGCATCTAACATTACCTATTTCTGGCTTGTCGAGCAGGCTGATGAGGATGCGGAAAGGCTTCAGGTACGCGTGATGGCGTTCCTCTGCGTCAGCATCCGGGAGCTTCTGGTGCAGTATCTCAGCCAGCCCCTGTGGTTGTTTTTTAAGCCACGTATCAGGGTATTATATAAAGCACAGTATCACATTATCAGTTGTTTCAATTCTTAAATACTCTGGGACAGAAGTAAAAGCAGTCACAGACCGCCAAATGCGAACAGTTGGCATTCTGTATTTGGGGCTCCATGTCCACGGAGTCAAACAACCACGGACAGAAAATATTTGGGAAAAAAAGATTCCAGAACATTTCCAAAAGCAAAACTTGAATTTGCCATGCACTGGCAACTACTTACACAGCATTTACACTGTACTAGGTTCTGTAAGTAGTCTAGAGGGGATTTGCAGTATGTGGGAGGAGGTCTGTAAGTTATATGCAAATACTCAGCCATGTTGTACACATGAGGGATTTGAGCATCTGGGGATTCTGGTATCCATGGGGGTCCGGGGAGGGTAATGGAACCAATCCCGCTCCATACATGGAATTTTCCCCACCATGTACCAAGGAACAGCCCCAAAATCTTCTTTGCAGCCCCACAAGGAACTCCACTGAAGAACCCTGATCAGGAATGTCCTAATTGGGGTCTACTTTCCAGAAATGCTCCTTTACCTCAACTAAAAGATCCTTGGAATATTTCTCAAAGAAATACAAGGACTGGTCTTCATAAGAATTTGAGGTTTCAGATTCTGGCACAACGGTATTTCCTTTAATATCTGAACCTATAAAAGAATAAGCACCATAAGTTGTGAAGAGATCTACACCCTTAAAGTACATCGGATCGTGCAGAGGGCTCACGCTCTGACAATCTGAGAAACAGAATTCCTCCAACAGAAAAATCAAAATCTGATCCAGCAAAACCAAGTCAGATTTTCTTCTGACAGAGGTGTGCCAGGCATTGGACAGGCAGAATTCCATCTCAACACGGATCAGTTGAGTTTATCCCAAGAACTCATTCTAATTGTCCTTGACAAGTATAATTATAGGGGGTCTAACGGAATGAGTATCATTTTTTTAAAACCAGTGTTTATTCGTACGGCATTATGTGAAATTGGTATTCTCATCTACATGCCCTCATTTTGCACCTTGGGTAAGTCTTTAAGGTCCTCTGGGGCAAGGAACGGCATCTTTCTAAACAGTCTGGACTCCTGGGTCGGGGCTGAGCAAGTCAGAGCTGGGGCTGAACTTGGGTCCCGGGTCCTCTCTGTCCACAGCAAGTCGAGACCCACTGGGAGGGAGGTATGCATTTAACAAAATCATCCTTTTAACAAAAATGCTTAAAGAGCCTGTGAATACCCTTCAGGAAATCCATCATCAGTTTCTACGCTATGACTTCTGAAAGTTTTATAACTAGGGGAAGAAAGGGTTAAGAGGACTTTCTGACATTGGGATAGAAGACCTATTATGTTGAGGGTTTAAAAAAAAAAAGTTGTGAGGCAGAAAATAGTCTGTGTGGCACGATGACGGTGGACACACATCCTTGTATGTTTGTCTAAGCCCAGGAAATGCACAACACCGACTAGAACCCTAATGAAAACGGTGGGCTGTGGGTAATGAGGATGCACTGGTGTAGGCCCACAGTTGTAGTAAACATGCCACTCTGGTGGGGGACACTGATGATGGAGGAAGGGAGGCTGGACATGTGGGGGACGAGGGGTAAACGGGGCATCTCTGTACCTTCTCTTAGCTTTACTGTGATCCTAAAACTGCTCTAAAAAATACATATAAAGTCTTAAAAAAAAAAAAGGCTATGGAGTCTGTTCACCATCGCCCTGTGCACCACCTTCTCTTAGGCGCGTGAACATGGGAATTTATAAAATTCAGAAAGAATTCAGAAAATTCAGAAAGTAAGCCCTGTGACTGCCTGGGCTCTGTCCCCATGAAGCCTTCCAACCAACAGCCAAGGGTTCTTTCCCTACGGGTTTACAGGCTCCACGAGAACACACGCGCAGAGAAACATGGAACAGGGCTCCCGCGCCCCGCCAAAGGCATCCCAGGATCTCCCCAAACGTGCTGACGCTGCAGACGCTCCCATCCACACAGGACCTCCACGTTTATGTGCTTTTCTCACACGCACTCTCAGCCCATGAAACCTCGCCACAGCAACAGGCTTCTACTTGAATAATGTCTAGTTACCATCATTCTAGGGTATTTCGAGCTTCTTGAAATGGAATTCAGTTAACATTTAAAACTCCCGTCCCTCCCCTATGTTTTACGGAATGGCTACAAACAAGCAAAGCTGTGGCGTGGGCAGGACTCAGCTGACCAGCGTCCATTCAGTCACCGCGTTCTCTCTCCACACTTCGTGATTCAGGAATGTATCACCGAGACTCAAACTTATTCCACGATCAGCACTCAGAGCTTTCACGTTAACCCTGACTTTCGACCACCGCATCACTCAGTACCTAGTAACCAGGCGTAAAGCCTTCTGTTCAGAGACATGTCTCTCCTCAGGAGGGTCTGCGCGGCGGCTGAGAGGATGTGGACGATGTCGGATCTGAGCAGGGGAATGGCTCTCTCGTTGGAATCCTACGAGGGGGACACAGAGAACTTCGCTGCAGGGAGATGACATGGTAAGTTACTGGCCTCTGGACACACGCAGCCCTCCTTACCACAGTCTACAAAGCTTATCTTAAAGAGGGAGTTCTCAAAAGCAGTTGGTTCTCCCTGCGCTGCCCAGGGAAAGAAGCTATTCAATTTTTGCTGTGGAAACACCATCCTCACAAAAATGAACGAGGACCTTTGATCCACTGAGAGTGAACAGTGATCCCTGAGGGGCCGCCCTCCTGCTCAGGACAAGACCAGTCAGACCTATCCCGCTGCCTCACATCCTCGGGTAGGGCCAGCAACTCCCCTGGAAGAACACAAACGCTTACCAGACAGGCATAGAATGGGAAGAAGAACAGAACAACTTCCAGATTATTTCTTTGCACCAGAACGTTTGAGTCCAACAGTGACGCACATAAGGACTTCACCTGTAGACGACAAAACGCCGTGAACATTTCATTCCCAAGACATTGAACACCACGTGCTGGCTACTGTTTTTTCCTCCCGGGAGTCTTGTGTTAACTCACTGTGGAACAGAACATAAAGTATAAACATGGGAGACTTGGTTCTAGCCCCAGACGCTAGGGAGGTTTTGAGATACCGGGAAGACGGACCGCTTGTTTCACCTGAGAGCTGGAGGGGTTTGGACCAGATGGTCAGGTTCTAAGACGTTAAATTCTCTGATCCCAGAAAGGAAAGTCTTAAGGTTCCAACAGGAACTTACAGCTAAACTAAAACTCCAAAGGCGTTCGGTCATATGGATTCCAAACCAATTCAGTACAGACTCTGAGTGTCTTTTCTGAGTGCATACAGACATAGTACAGCTGCAAAATGGATGAGAGTCATAAGAGAAATGCGCACCAAAAGCTCTAAGAATTCGGAAGAGGAAAGGGAGAGCTCTTTCAGCTGGAGAAAACAGCGCAGCTTTGGGGGAAAGCTGAACTTGAAAGACGAGGAGGAGACACACTGAGACAACAGAGAAGAGGGCTGGGCAGGGAGCGTGGGAGAGGGGACTGGCTGGAGCAAAGACAGCATCACAGATGCACCAGGGCAGGCCAGACAGCCGGCTCCAGGAGTGCAGAGCCCTGAAGGGGGGAACAGAGGCATTTGGTGGGTTGGGAGCAGGCTGTTAGGATACTATTTAGGTTAGACTTGATCTGAAGGCCAACAGGAAGCCAGGTGTTTTCCAAGCACAGAACAGATCTGAGCAAAGCTATACAAGGCAAATCTCTTAGCAATCAGAAAGGAAAGGGGGAGAAATCGGTTAGAAAATCACTTGATCAGTTGCCCAGAAGCAAGACCCAAGAAGCTGAAGCAGGGCGGTGCAAACAGAGAGAGACGGGCCAGGAAGAAGGGAACATGTTTATGAGAGTCTCCTATGTCCTAAGCGTTGCTCGTGGTCCTTTTCCTCAGAGAGCCCCGTGAGGAAGAGCTACTATTCCCACTTGCAGAGGAATGGACTCACAGGGGTAAGCTGTTTTTGCCAACTTCCTTAAGGATGAACTCAGTTTTGAACATTTTAAGTTTGAAGTGTGGGTCCACCACTAGGTGGCGATAGACTGCAGGCTATTAAACAATCTGTTAAGCTAAAGGGAGAAGACAGGTCTGGGAAATGCCCATCTCTCAAGGTCATGGGAAGGCATGTTGCTACCAGCCAAGAGGGACCTGGGGCAGACACCCCGACAACCCAGGTGTAAGAGCAGCCAGAGGAGAGGGTGATGGCAAGAGCAGAACCGGACAGAGTCTAGAGGAGAAGGAGGGGGCCTCCAGTGCGGGCAGTGGTCAGTGTGCCGTGGAGGCGGGGACAGGGGCAGAAACAAGCCTGCAGCCCAGCAGCAGGCCTGGCGCGAGGTTCTCCGGGTACCGCGACAGCCCCGTATCGCTGAAGGTGCGGGGCCCTGGGAAGCGCTGTCCTCAGGTGAACAACACTCATCTGAATACACCAACTGTGATGCGTATGATAGACACTGACACTGCCATCCACGGTGGCACACGGATGCTGCCTCCTTGCTGGCCCCATCTCGGGGCGCCACCACCTCCCGCAGCCCAGTGGCGCCCTGTGGGGAAGCAGGCAGGCCTGCCCACTGCAACCACCCACCGTGAGCTGGTAGTCCGTCCCCAGCATGTACTTCTGCTCCCTGCCGGGCGAGCCCCTGCTGATGTGGCCCACCACGAAGAGCGAGGCAGGCAGGCGGATGGACGGGCTGGCCAGGACGCTCCCCCAGAGGGCGGCGTAGAACACCTCCTTGCCGACCACCAGGGACAGCCTCAGGAGTAGGGCGTCTGTTCTGTGGATGAGAGAGCACAGGTTAGGGCTCGCTGCCCCCGGGCCCTGGAGACACCAGCTTCCTTGTCATTTTGAGCTGCTGCCACCTGTTTTCCTTCTGTGTCTGTCCTGCCGGCAGCCACTGCAACTGAACTTGCTAAAACAAACGTCACCGAGAGGTGCAGCTTCTCCGCCAAGAGGCAGCGCCTGCCTGGTCCTGTCACCCACCGTGGCACAGAGACCCACCTCCGCCTTTGGCCTGGCTGTGGACGCCACGGTACTTACGGGAGGCGGTCCCATTGCACAGATCAGCCACGTTACATAAAAGCATGAAGAGTCATTAAGGTGTCAAAAAAAAAAAGGCTGATGTGACTGGAGATGTAAATAAAGAGAAAGATACCCCTCACTTGAGCACAGCCGAAAATGTGCCAAGTGACAGTGGACCTCAGAAGCACTGGGGACAAAATCCGCCTGGCCTCCCACTCCAAGGCATGTCCACAAAGCTTGGGGAGGTGTTTCCCTGTCACTCTGCCCACAGCACCTCCGTGCACTGGCTCCCACTCCGGGAGACCATTCTGCTGACAACCTGCATTTATTCGTCCCTTATCTTCTGGTCGCCCAGACGTGACATCAGCAACTTCATGGACGTCCTCTAAGAGGAGCAGGGGCATCGGGGGGCCTTGGCTTGTGTCCCACTGACACTAACCAAGGCCTGGTCCTTCTCTGCTCGGGGTGCACCTGCAGCTGACGGGGCATTTTCCTGCCAACTGTGAAACCAAAGCTTGAGGGCCAGGTGACAGCACCTGTCAATAAAACACGGGAGGCAAACTCCCAAGGCGGGCTGTCACTTAAGGAGTGACCCGGCTCAAAATCTGCAGTGACTCCGTTTTCCACATGCTTCCTATTTGCAAATTACAGGAGGACAAGCCCAGTGCAGTGCAGAGGGCTCTGGGGTCAGGCCCCTGGCATCCAAATCCTGTATCTCCTTCCCGGCAGTGGTGCCGAGGACAAGTTAAACCTCCGTGCGTGTTGGCATCCATCTCTGGTAGGGATAAGAGATGAAATGTCATGAGATGTGTGACAGTCTCTGAGTACAAACTCAGCCCAGGAGAAGAGAGCTGGTGCTGGGGCCACACAGCCCGCCATCCCCACAAGGTCCGCTCCGTTGGCTGACACTCCCGGCTGCCCAGATGGGCATCTGACACTCAGCTGGTACTTGAAAAAAACGGTCAGATGAACGTCACTCTTTCTCTTTTGTTATCACTCAAACTGTCTTTAGCTTACTTTTTAAATAATCAGTTCAGTGTATATTAAAACACTGCATACAAAAAAAAGTCAACTACTTTTTGATATTAAAAATGAATTTTGTTCTTTTTAAAGCTAGTCTGGACCATTTGGACTCATAAAACATTTGTAGCCAATGACGCAGAGTATCATCTTTTCAGAACAAACGAAATGGAGAAGCAGGAGGGACAGCCAAACGTTTAGGACAAGGACATGGTTTAGTGGTTAAAGGCATCAACTGGTCTCCTATCAAGGCTGAGCAAACAAATGGAGCTTCTCTCTGCCCAGCTCTGAAAACAACCAGAGGCCCTAATTTTGGGCAGAAGTTCCATTCAGCAGTTGTCGTAAATCGGGCAGGTGGATCCCTGTGTCCCCTGGACAGACTGGATGGTCCTCAGCTAGGAAGATTCCTACAGCAACAGAGTAACTTAGGAAGTCCCTGGAATGGTCCTCTCTCTCCAGGATCCCTATCACAAGAACACCAACACTTAGGTAAAACCCAGCGCAGACACCTCAGTGCTCACACTGCTATCACTTCCCCCTTGCTTAGGACAGCGTATTCCCAAAGTAGGTCCCATGGAACACCGGCCACTTGAGCTGTTCCACAGGAGTGGTTCCGCTGTCAAAGAGCCTGGGGACACCCCTTATACTATCCCTCCTTCAGGAGTCAGAGAGCACTGGCTAGTTTTCTTTATCAAAGAAATGCAGCTTTAAATAAACAAAGTCCTATTTTATCCTAAAATATTAATGGATATTAAAAATTGAAATGATACTACAGTTCAGAAAATGGCAATTATGACAGGACTGCTATGGAGAGCAGAGTAAACAGCAAGATAACTGGGGTTAGAAGCTAAACTTCTACTACAGAAGAACTACATCATCTCAGTTGTGAAATTCCAAATTACGTGTGCTCAGTTTAGCGTCCAGAATGATAATCTTTTCTATTCAAAACTAACAACCAAAAGAAAAACAAAACCACCCACAACCCAAAACAAAAGAGACACACCGAACCCCAACCTCCACTCTTTCCATCCTTCCTTGGCCACGCTGGCTGCTGCTCTCCTGTGCCCCCTGCAAACACAAGCTCACTCTACCAAAACGGACACTCTTCTCTGCTCAACTGACGGCAAGTGAGCGACACGGGCCTTTAGCCCCAAGCATCTCACACCTCTGGCTGTGCGGCCACTTGCCGAGCTGTCACGAGACTGAACAGCCTGGTGTGTGATCATCTGAATGAGCAGGGAGGTGACAACAGCGCCCTGCACCACCACTGTCAGACAGATGCCAAATAAGTGGCAAAAAATTCTATAACTAGCAGAGTTCATCATGGTGCCTGGGATCAACCGAAAGAAAGGTCAATAAGTACTTTTCAACTACTATTTAAATCAGGGTTTCTCAGCCTTGACACTGTTACCACCTGGGGCTGGATCCTTCTCTGCTGTGAGACAAACGTGTGCATTGAAGGGTGTTTAGCCTCACCCCTCGTGCACCTTCCCATGATGCCAGCAGCACCCTCCCTGCCCCAATTATAACAACCAAAAATGTGCCCAGATATTGCCAAATGTCCCCTGAGGGACAAAAATCACAGAAATCTCTGGTGAGCCGGTTCTGCCTGCTTACTGACCACAGAAAACAACCACCTCTCTCTCCTCCGTCCTCTTAGAACAGGAGGTGAGTGTCCACCTGCCCCAGCTAATCCTGTTTTCTCAGTACAGCAAAACACGAAAGCCATGTGGCTACTTCTAGGGCACTTTAAAGAAGGAATTCTGGCAGGCAGTGATTCTCAGGCATCAAAGGGTTAGAAAGCCAGGGTGAATGAATCATGAGTCCTAACACTGGCCAAAATTTCCATTCCGTACGGTTCACTAATAAGCACAGACCAGGAACAGTCCCCGCCTCCACGAAACTCGTGAATCACTCGCCTCACCAGCCCCAAACTCACTCACCCCGAGCATCCTCCACCAACCTGGCCATTGTGACCCCTGCCCCAGGCTCTCCCTTTCTGTCTCTCTGCACAGTATTTGCTGGGGGTGTGTGGGGGGGTCTGACTCAACTCCTAAGCACACTGGGGAAGAAACTGCTGCCAAACTAACACGGATACATGCAGTCACCTAACTGCTGTTGCCTGTACAGGCGCGCTCAGGCTACACAACCCATGACTGGCCTCTGCCTCGGAAAGCTTGTCACTAACAGCTTCTGAGAGCTGCAGACGCTGGACTGGGTTTTCTGTCACAGCTGCATCTACTCGGTGATTCATGCAGCTTTACTCAGCTCTTGGTTCAACGTCAAGAAATCACAATGTTAGGAGAAAACACTTGTGTTAAGCAACTTTAGCAACTGTTCAAATGAACACTCATTTATCAACTAAGAGAACACACAAAAACACACTGCTATTGACACGCTTCTGATGTGATTCACTCTTGCAGATTTAAAACCTGCAAAACACTTTGGGAACTGATGTGTTCAACTTCAGACGAGGGGAAAAGTATTTACACACACACACACACACACACAATTTGTTAGGAAAATATAAGTGGACCAGAACTTCTACAAAGAGCCTAAGGCCAGGAATCAAGAGACAGAGTCTGGTAATGGTCTTCTTGCTGACCCCAGGTGACCTTGACCATTCCTTAACCCACACACCTACCCAGCCTCGCAGAGCACGGTCCTGGTCCAGAGACAGGCCCTGCCTCCCAGGGAAGTGGATCCTGGTGACTGAGTGCACTGCTGAGGTGGACTCCCTCCCCACTGGGAAGTCGAGAGCCACCACCTGCTCTGTGTGAAAGCCTGAAATGGCCCAAGTGCACATCAAATTCCAGCACACATGCTGGTGATGTTCATGCGACCTTGGTCACCAGCGACAATCCTGCAAACCATTCTGACTGTTTGGTTTCCTTGAGGGGATCGTTCTGACTAGACGCTGGACTGATCCTTCAGTTCCACTCCACACCCCCTGCCCCCCCCGCCCCCCTAGTCACAGCTAACCCAACAGGCAAAGGTGGTGCGGCTGGGGCCTCTGGCGGGAAAATTTGAACAGTGCCTTGTGTAACCAGATGGAAACTTTTGCAAGCACAAGGGTTCCTAAATCTCCCAGTCAGGCTGTGCGTGGGCTCTGAAAACAGGTCCAATGAACTGAAGTTAATCACTGTGGCATCACTTAGAATGGTTAATACGTGGGAAGTGAGTTCTTGCACTGTAATTCTCCAGAAAAACAGGACACTCTGTATCCTCAGTTGTCTGAATAGATACCAGCTTTCTCCTGACCCCAAGCAGTGACCAAAAAAACAGATAAATACTACTGTGTGAGATTTACAAATTTCTCCAAGGTGCTACTGAAACTTGTCAAGCTATCCTTAGCCGCACACCATTCTGTGCCCTACCCGCCACTGGAACTTGGCCACGCCCTTTTATTTGGAAGCAGCCTAGTGTAACAGGAAGGAGGAGGACTTCAGAAGCTGACACAGGGGTGGAATCCCCATCTCTGCCACCCACAGTCGGTGCGACTCTGGGGAATTTCCTGCCTCCTGACCCTCACTTGGACACGGAGGGAGTTCCCAGGGGCACTGGGTATTGTGCCAGGCGGAGCCCAGCACAGAAATGTAAGCATCACCTCGACTTCTGCACCTGTCCTGCTCCCCCGCACGTCTCTGCACTTCTTCCCCGTTTCTCATAAAGCGGCGGAACGCAACCCGAGCCGTGCGGCGCGCCCACCTGGACGGGCACGGCCGTGAGCTCTGGATGAGACCCACCTGTCGTAGATCTCCGAGCCCTCCTCGAGGCCAGGCAGCAGGCCGACGATGAAGGCCTGGAGACTGGGCAGCAGCAGCTTCTGCAGCGGGAGGAAGTACTTCTCGTAAAGGCCGAGCAGCACGGGCCGCACCGACATGGCTGCGTGCGCCAGCAGAGGGAACAACCCACAGCTTGGGGACAGAAGAGGAGGGGATAATGAGACACCTGCTTAGAAGCTCCAAATGATCAGCCAGCCCAACGGGGTCTTCAAAACAGCCAGCCAGCCATCTAAGCTGGTGATGGACATGCCTGCTCGTCATGAGACGGTCACAGCGTGCCTTGAGCACAGCACAGGGGACAGGTCTGGACGGGACACTCCGACTTAAAGAAAAGTCAGGTAGGACACACTCCAGAAGGTGAGCTCTGGTTTCCTCCTGTGATGGATTTATAGGGAGCCATTCTACTTGCCTGCTGTATGTTTCTTGTTTATCACTGTCTTATCTTGGGAACTGAGATGTGGATTACTCAGGTAATAAAAAAGGAATGTGGTGGGGCAGCTACTGTACCTGTAGAGGAACAAATCCTTGGCCAGCCATTTGGTCCCTACAATTTTAAAGATAATTTCATAGGTTTCTAGGGCTTTCAAGTGCACGCCACTGGGCAAAGCAGGATGTAGGCACTGAGCTAATCTCTTGCTGATAAGGAGCCGTCTTGGCAACAAGGAATACCTCAGGTTACTCTGCAGAGCCTGGAAAACAAGGAGAAACACATGAGGAAGGAGGCGGTGACGCTGACGGTGGAGCGTCCATCTGCGGGGGCCGAGGGGACACCAGCAGGCCCCAGTGTGGCTGGAAGAGATCGGGCGTGACAGGACAGGAGGACACAGGGACAGCACAGGGGGCAGGCGGTGGGGACCACGAGCCAGCATCAGGGCCGGGGGGCCAGGAAGCCCCCAGCCATGCTGGAGATGAGGCAGGCTCCAGAGCCGAGGGCAGAGGAAACCCTGCATTCCTCCAAAGGGATTTTGTCACAATCAGGTCGGCTTCTTGGCCACACGTGGAAGCCCGTGGACAGGTAAGGGCTGCGTGGTTCTGCCCGGGGAAGCCTCTGGTCTACACACGAGACTAAGCAGAACACAGAGCTCCTGTCCCCATGAAGACCCTTGTTTGTGTGCGTGGAAGCCCTGGATCTCCCCATCATTCTCCCAGCTCGGCATCAGAGCCGAGTGGCTCTGAGTGAGGGACACCGCAGAAGAGAAGGGGGCACACTTCTGGGCCGTGACTCCTGGCATCTTCACCGGTGGGCTCCACAGAAGAAAATCAGAACCAGGCTCGCACGGAGTGGCAGCCTTCCCGTGCCAGGCCTCCTCCAGCAGGACACAGGCCTTGTGTGCACTAGAGCATCCTGGGCACCTGCTGCACCCAGGAAATACTGCCGGGGGCGTGAGCAGATGGATGCTGCCCCTCAAGGCTGCAGATGACCACGTGGAGGGCACTGGGTGGGTCCTCGAGACTCAATCTTACGATACCAAGTGTCGTCGTTACAGTGGAACAATCCATACAACTCGCACAAATATTTACAGAAAGCCAGCAGGGTAAAGTCCATGCTTCTTAAAAAGCCACTCAAAGGCTGCTATAGCGTGATTTCTGCCTAGTCCCCGCACTCCATCTCTTATGCTTCGGCTTCAAACTTTCTAACAACACAGATCCACCTGCGGCTCCGGCCCGCCCCTCGCTGGCCCTCAGCCAGGACATCCCTCCCATCCGCTGTGCTAATGTTCCTCACTTGAGACTTAGCTCAGCAGCCCCTCCCAGCAGGCAGAACGGTCCCGGCTCCAGGCAGGGCACACTCATTTAGTTGCTGCCCTGCCGGGATCCACGTGCACGTCTATCTCTGACTCTGCTGTGCTAATGACGCCTGCTTCAGGGCTGACCCAGGCGGTGAGCAACCTGCTGGCCAGGCCTATCTCCTTCCTCTGCCGTCCTCAGCGCTCTGCACACCGCCTCCCACGAGATAGGCATCCTGGGACAACGTCACAGGACATGCATGTCAGAACCCCTGGTCCCCGGACGGTGTGATTGTAGGGCCGTGATGGCTTTCTCTCTATGAGCAAAGAAAACGATCCTCCTCTAAAACCTACACGGAGGTTTGCAGGAGATGAAGGGATGAGAAGGAAAGTAATATTTTTCATCAGAGCACGTGGTCAAACTGAACTCTCAGTTCAATGCAACTGTATCTTAAAAAAACCAGCCACACCTAGAGGTCATCAAGGAATACCTTAAAACATTATTTAAGAGAGTCTGATAGCTTAAAACAAAGGAAAAAGCCAACAAAGTATTTTTTTAATGTGCTTACGTCAAACAGAAAACTGAAGTGGTGACCAGAAATACACACTGTAACAGAAAATAAGAACTGAGACGCTGAGGCAGAGAGGAAATGACAGTGGGAAACTCACAGGGAACATTACGGACATTCTCAAACGTACAGAAAAGCATGTCGAACAGCAACGGACCCATCACCCAGCTTCAGCAAGGATCAGCTGGCCAGTCCTGAAGACGCGGCTTTCGGAAACCACGTCTGGGGCTCACCTGGCTTATCGATAATGCGGAGGTGAGTGCGGTGGTGGGCTTTCCCCACGAATCCAGAGGAGGAGGACGAAATTCTGTGCTCACCTGTTCTTTCGGTCAGGCAGGGCTTTTGCTTTTTAAGTCACGATCTCATTTTTGCTTAGCGTATTCTAAGGACTTTTGCTATGTGATGTGTAGAAGCTGTGCTGCAGCTGCTAAGGTGGTCACCTGGGATTCACAAGTGTCTGGTCCCCCCAGGCTGGGCAGTAGCAGCATCCCAGTCCTCTGCCCTTTTGAGTGCAGGCGTGGCAGCATGACTCACTCTGGCCAGCGAGATGAGTGGAATGATGTGTCACTCCTACTCACCCATGGGGCTCTCCTTCCCCACCCTAGAGGTGGGTTGAGCTGAAGCCCCTCCCAGCCTGGGTCCTTGAGAAATTACAGAGAACAGAAACCACTTGCTGACCTGCCCCGAGGCAGAACTCAATCAAATGGTAAAAATCACTGAGTGTGGGGATTGTTTGTTACCATGATGGAACCTTCCCTATGCTGACTGATACATCTCTTCCCATATAAATGGGATTTCAAGGAACCACAACCATTCATTTCAAAGGAACGAGGCTGATTGCTATTTCTTTCTCATTTAAATTTGTCATTCCACTTAATTTAACTAGAAAAGGAAACATAACCAGTGACCAGTACATGTGGAATGGATTGTTCATTGTATGCTGCCCATGTTAATCCAAGCAAACACAGTGTGTCTGAAATGGGGACCCAGTGCCTCTTGACCAAAAGGTACACTGAAGATGAAAGAAGCTGACTTGAAAATGCAAGAACAAAAGATACAATTCGATAGCACTTAGAAAAATGAGAAGATACTCATCCTTCCTGATTAAAAGTAAATGCAAATTAAAACTACTAGGAAATGCCATCCTTTTTACCCACCAGATTGGCAAGTTAGATGGAAGCACACAGGTTCAGAAGAAGAGCCGAGACACCCAGAGATCACGAACCAGGTTTATCAAACCTACAGTCAGGATTTGGGCAGACAGGATTTGTGAGCCTGCTCCTTGAATTGGTTAAGAAATCTGATTCCTCTGTGTCTGGGTCATAATGATTTTGTTATCACACTACCCACAGAGCCTGGCACCTAACACATGCTTCAAAACTGAGGCTGAACAAACACACAAGAGCGAGGCTATTATAATGCCTGGCTTAAGTCTGTGAGCCTGCAGGTCAGAGCCTGGAGTTCCAGTTCTCTCATCTGTTGGGTAAATTCTTTAATTTTTCTGGGCTGCGGTTTCAAACGGATAATGATGCCGCATGGAGTTGCAAGCATCCGATGAGACATCACAGGTAAAGAAATTAGCACGGTGCCTGCCACAGCATAAGTAATCGACAGATATCTCCTCTTAGTATAATGACAAGCTGAAAACTAAGCGCCAGATTTAAAGATGGAGACAAAAATGCACCGCATTTTAAAAGAAGTGACTGAAATCCGATCATTTGTAAATATTGCCCTTTATGTCACAAAAGCAAGCAAGGACACTAGTCAGATGTGTTAATGAGATAGGTCGAGAAATATATTGTGTTAGTAAAAGAAAAACTCAAATTGTTGTATATTTGGAGGTGAGATCAACTGTGGACCCAAAATATGATGAGAATACTGACAGACACTGGAGTCAAGGGGAAACTGCATATAATGAGAGGTGGAGCTGAAGCTGAAATTTCCTTTTAAGACGATAAAGGAAAAGGTATATAGTAATTAACATTTAAGATTTAAAACGGAAAAAGAAATTATTTTTATTTCTTGAAGGATATATAATGAAAAAAATTCTAAAGAAACATTTTGCAGGTGGCTAAGACTGGAGATTAGAATTGCCGGGTGAAAACGTTTCCATGTAACAGATCCACAGCACTTTCAGAAGCAAAGGATTCCCCGAGACAGAACTCCACCTCCCACAGTGTGACTTAACTACACGGGAAATGGGGTGTGGACCCCATTATAAAACACCTTCCACGTGAGCAGCACTAAGCAGCACCTCAAATTCTACCTTCCTGAGACTCTTCCTTCATCTCACTGAGGATTAACCCATGGGCCACAAGGGTGTCAACTGAAAAAAAGGCACAACCTAAAAGTTGAGAAATATGTTTTATTAGGCAGACTTTCTGAGGACTTCAAGCCCAGGAGACAGCCTCTCAGATCGCTCTGAGGGACTGCTTCAAAAAGGTAGGGGAGGAGCCAGGATATACGGGAGATTTTGCAACAAAGACTTTACTATTAAAGAAAACCAGATATCTCAAGTTAAGGAATTTAGCGTTTTTCTATGTATGGGAAGATGTAAGAGCCAGGGCTCACTGAAATCATTTCTTCGATGTGCACCTAGCTGTCTAGGGCCAGTGTCCCGTTCTTCCACACCCGAGTCCCCTCTGGGGCACTGCCGGGGGTGCTGCAGTGGCTGAGGGCGTGATGGCCAGGCATTCAGTTTCCATCCTGAGTTCCCTCAGGGCTCACCTTTGGGATGGCTGCAAAGTGATGGTTTGATGGCTGCAACATCCGTTATCCTTTGTTTACTGATACAGCAGGCAATATTTTTTATGTACAAGGGGAATAGCTCCATGTTTTTTAGGGCAAACTTTTTAAAAGAGGGCAAGAGTTATCTAATGATTCATTTCCTCTCAGGCTGCTACAATTTCAGAGCTCCATGTGCTGCTTCAGCCCAGTGGCTTTCTTCAGACACCCTGGATTCAGAAGCTCCCCTATTTGCAAGCTAGCCCCCTTGGGCATGAGCAAAGCGCCTGGTCAACGTGGCCAGCCCACTTCAGGCTCCCAAACACATTTCTGGTAGGAAACTGGAGGGATTCTGCTGCATCCTCTCTGAGAGGTGGGGTCAAGCCTGATGCCCACAGCTGCCACTGCTTCTGAAAAAGATGACACTCTACTCGGAGCAGACCTCCCCTAGGAGGTTTCAACATTGAGTGCTGCGCACCACAGCTGGGAATGTAAAAGGGTGCAAAATGTTAAACATTTGATTTGTTTCCCAATTCCACTTCTCGATACACACCCAAAAGAACTGAAAGCAGGGACTCAAACAGATATCTGCACCCCCATATTCGCTGCAGCATTATTCACAATGGTCAAAAGGTGGAAACCAACCAAAGGCCCACGAATGGATGAATG